AAAGTAGTACATATCACTAACTCAATTAAACTAACGAAGCAAATTATAAACATAATGTTGTTCCTACATGTTCAATAAGAGATCAATTTAAATTGTCACTGTTAATTCAAACGTTCACGTCTCCTGGAATGTGGAATTTTCTTATCACAATGTTCTAATGGAATGGGTTTTTGAATCGGTCTATTGGTTGTACCGTTTTTCGTTCTGAGTACGGCAGAACGCACAAGTCCGTCTTTACCGCACACAAGATCTTCTACCACGGCAAGTTTCCAGGATAACCTCGGAACACAGTCCTCATGAACTAGAACTACATCTCCCTTCCGTATCACGTTGCCTTCCGCTTTCCTGATACTCGGTAAAACTCTCTTAAAGAAGTGAGGTATTCATGCCGCCATCTGTTCCAGAATTGGTCAATGAGTAGAAGTTTTCTTTCCAATTGTTTGTTGAGTTTCTCGTGTATCTGTTCTTTGAATATATTGTCGACGTTTTCGTGGTGTACAGGATATAACACTGAATTGACCTGTCTTCCGTATAGCAACTGCGACGGTGTCAACGGTGAAAAATCGTCTATGTTAGAGTTAACATAAGTAAGAGGACGATCATTCATAATTGCTTCCACTTCAGTTACAATGGTAGTCAGCGTATCATAGGTGACAAATGCACATTCGAGAACTTTAAGCAAGTCTTGGTGAGTCCAACTAAATGTTCCCAAAACCCTCCATACCAAGGTGCTCCCATGGGAATGAACTTCCACGTAGTACAATATAATCCGAAATTATCTTTCAATTTGTTCGATTCTCCAAGTTTTTGAATTGTCTTAGATGCTGCTTGAAATGTTTTTGCATTGTCTGATATAACCTTTGGTTTCGACTTCCTACTTATGAACCGTCTGAATGCTAACAAAAAAGTTTCCTCGGATAAATTCTTCACTAGTTCGAGATGAACAGCACGTGAAGAGAAAATGTGTGTTTTTCTGTCCTGTCCATTTCCCTTAACGTATAACGCTCCCCCGTGAGATCAACACCTGTAACCGAGAATGGAAAATGATCATATACACGACCCTTGCGTAGAGGGGGTGGTTCTGGTGTAGAGTATGCGTTTCCTGTAATTTTCTTGCATATCAAGCAGTTCTTTATCACATTTCCAACAGCCTGACGTGCAGCTGGGATCCAGAATTTCTGACGTAACAGCGTGATTGTTGTTCCTTTACTCGTATGCATATTTCTTTCATGTGTGTCCATAATAAAAAGTCTTGTAAATCTAAGCTTTCGAGGAAGTAAGTACGGAAATTTTGCGTCAAAAGGAAGTGGGGCGTAGTTTATGCGACCTCCACAACGAATGAATTTCTCTTCGTCTAGATAAAGCCTAAGCTGTTGTATCACCGCGTTGCTTGACTTTGAACTTAAAATTTCTTTTACAGTTCTGTATTCAATGTTTTGTACGCTTTCTATCCAAGTATTGTGTATTTCCGTTTGTTGACAATGGTCAGGTTGATCTTTCACATGGCTTCTTGCAGTTTTCAATAAATCGCTTGCCGTAAGCCGTTACACGAAGACTCTGGTAAGGGTGGAAAACCTTTCAAAATTTATTACACCTTCTACATTTGTTACAATCTTGTCCTTTGAGTTTACTTGAGTAGTATGGCTCCCACCCCTGCGTCCGACGTCCACGATTTCTATTGTCGTTAAAACGTGATTTTCCGGTGAATTCCAGCGTGGCCAATTTCCTTCGTTATGTATCCATCTCGGACCGTTGCTCCAAAGAACATAGTTTGCGAACTGCTTCCATGTAGTTCCTCTGGAAAGAATATCTGCCGTGTTGTCGTTTTTAGGGCAATACACCCATGAATTGTTTTTCATTATATTGCGAATTTCCATAACGCGGTTTTTCACGAAAGGCTTCAGTGGCTTTTCCGAAGAAATCCAGTTCAGCACAATCTGACTATCACTCCATAACACAACTTTTGAACATTTCAAATTTTTTGTCACATTCTCTGACATCCTAGCACCAAGTAATGCAACAGACAATTCTAGATCCGGAAGAGTGTAATTTCTCTTTAATGGTGTGACACGATTTTACGCAATGACGAGCTTAGTTTGTTGTCCTTGTGATATATAACAACAGGCTCCGTACGCTTTCTTACTGGCGTCAACGAATATGTGCAATGTAGCATCTTCGTTCTGAATGGCATCCGTATTTTCCGAAAAGTAAAATCTTGGAATCTTTACTTAATTGATGCGTTGTAAATCTTTGTTGATTTCGATCCACGAATTCTGAATTTCCTCTGGGAGTACAGAATCCCAGTCATAACCGTTTTTCCATACCTCTTGTACGAACATCTTGCTCCTAACTGTGTTGGGCTCAATATTCCAAGCGGGTCGTAAATTTTCGAGGATTGCTTTAATATTTCTCTTTTTGTGATTTTCACCGGTGGATATTTCTTTGATAGCGAAGCAAAGAGTATGTTTTGGTGTTCCAACGTAATCCTAGTATGTTAACCAAGTCATCTTTGTCGTGTACGGCGTTTTCCCGTGCAATGACATTCAATTTGTCGTCGTTAGAAGCCCATGAACGTAACTTGAATCCTCCTTTTAACTTTAAGAATCGCGCTTTTTGAAAAAAATCAATGAGCTGTTCCTGTGTTTCGAACCAATTCCAGGAAACTCACGAGCTCCAGCGTTGTTGAATTCATCCACAATATCTGTTCTTGCTGAGACAACTTCCCTCTTTGACTTAAGCAGACTGAACTCAGTAACACCAAATTTATCGCTGATTAAATGCAATGTTTCCTGAGAGGCCAAATAACGCATTGTCGTGAGTACTTTTCCCCCAAGTTTTATAGAATCCCTGCCTCCAGAATAATGCCTTTCAGTAAGTTCTGGACATTCCGCCAACATTTCGCACAGCTTCTGGAAAGTTTGTCTGTCTATTTTGAAGAGCCTTTTGAAAGTGTCCGGTAAATACACTGGAACAGTTCTTTCATAATAATTCTGCCATTTAGTTCGATCACCCCTCAGTGAAATGACAGAAGCAAACGATTTACTGAAAGGGGCGTACTGAAAGCGCATGTTACGCTAGATTTACAACGCATCTTCAGAGCTAGGAATATGATAAAAGTAAGTTGATCTTTGGAAATAACTTACTTTGATACAACAGGCAAAATAACATCGATAACATCTTTGTCCTCGTCCTCCATCAATTCGTTTAATACCACACCACAGAGAGCGACAGTAGATGCGGCCATCTTGCTTCCGGTGAAACTCGCTTGTTTGGTAACTGTGCCGGGCATTCATACTGATCAAAAAAGGCCAAAAAAGATATTGTGTTCTTTCCACATAACGTAATGTGCCGCACTTGACCAAAAGACGACTTGCAGGATCGGGCAGAATCGGGCGGTTTATGGGTCAGGTGAACTATTTTCAGTAAATTTACTGTATTTGTATAACATGAAATAATTATGTTCTTTTTAATTATTTGACGTATTTTAAGTGCACATGTAGGTCAGGTAGTATATTGTAAAATTGTCATGCAGATTGGGGTATCTGCTTATATTGATGAATTTATAAGTTTCTAATTAAAATGCATTGGTGTTATGTATTATACAGATTATGGACTCTGTATTTATATCTATATACAATTTGTACATGTACTGGTGTTAGGTGGAAAGTGCTACCCATTTGCCTGTAGAGAGTACCTGTGTATATATGTTTGGTGTATAGGTATGGTCATGTGACCTACCTGTCTATATGTATTGTCCAGTGTTACATGTACTGTCCATGTCTTTTCTGCATGATATTGTGAGTAATGTTCATAACTAACCCGACCTTTGACATAAACTTTTAAATTAATCTTATTTTATTGGCTATACTTTTGGAGGGAAAGTTCTTTGTCCAAATTGTTTGGGGCAGAAGGAAAAGAGCTTTGGCTAGAGATTCTCACCTCTCACCTCTCGGTACATATACTTTATCCCGAATTTTGTAACAGCCAGCTTCATAAATGGTGAGTCTCTATCTGTTGTTTTATCACTGATATGTTCTAAAGTATAGAGTTTTTTAATTCAATTTGTGATGACCCCGACATGATAACCAACACATTTGTAGAGTTGTTAGGCTTTATTGTCGTACCGGATACTGCTGATATTTGTATATCTATATATAGTAAAAGCTGGAAGAGATACAAACAGTTCATTAAACTTATGTTTTAATTTGAATGACACTTAATTAAAGTTAATAAGATTCTAGAAAATTGGAAATTACTATTTGATTCTGAGTAAAATGTAAACATTGAAAAATATCAGAAATATGAAAGAAATATGAGCACAGGCAGATGCACTTAAAACCACACGTTTAGTTACTTAGAAAGATTGAAAGCGGTATGAGTCAATTAGCACAACTTTTAAAATACGAGCATATGAAACTTTGCATTATGCTACAGTGAATAACTAGGTCAACTGGTACACTGCTTAACAAGTGTCACATAAACAAACTCAAAATTGAAAATAACTGCATGGATATGCGTAAACTACGTACGCATTAATTCAACAGAAGGTTGGGAAATATGAAAAATAATACGATCGCATGATCTGAACAAATACTTACACAGTATGGGCCACATTTAATTGTCTCGGACAAACATATCAACATTCGTCTCAACGTCGGGCGGAACGCGAGGTATTCAGGGGAAGATAACTCTACTGCACTTACTAAACAGTAGGTGGGACACTACTAAAAACTGGCAAGGGCAGAACACTCCTCGCCTGATATAAACATATCACCCTACAACAATCTGAAGAATAACTATAACATCAAACTCGAAAACGATCACGTGGTGCACGTGACCAAAAGGAAGGTACAAGAACCCCCATACTATACTACTAATGGAGTAAATATCTTCATATGAAAAAACAGGATCTTCCTGCTCAGAAAATCAAACTTAACTGATCTAAAGATGCAAAAATGGTTAATACTGATATTCTGACTAGAATCTCACATTTGAAAAGTTTATTCGTCTGAAACTAGTACTGCAAGTTCTGTGACTGGACGTTGGAAAGAGGTAGATTTACCATTTCGTCGGACGCGGAGCTCAACCTTTCGTACTAGGCCATCTTCGCTAGCAATTGCGCGTGTGACGACTCCCAAAGGCCAGTCGTTTCTGGCACTCTGCGTATCTTTCATTAGCACTACGTCTCCGACTTTGACATTACGCTCTTTCTCTTGCCATTTTCTTCTTGGCTGTAACAACGACAAGTACTCTCTTCTCCAGCGTGACCAGAACTTCTCAGCCAAGACTTGGACATGTCTCCACTGTGCTCGGTACATATCCTTCACGTCGAGATGAGCAAGGGACTCTATTTGATCTTCTGTCTTTTGAGTAAGCAGAACCGAGGGAGACAGGACAAACGGCTGTTCTGGATCCGATGATACAGGCACGAGAGGGCGCGCATTTAAGATGGCACATACTTCGGCCATTAAAGTAGTGAGCACTTCATGGGTGAGCTCTTTTCCCTTGTTCTCTAGAAACATAGCATCGAGTATACGGCGTGCGACGCCGATCATCCGCTCCCACGCGCCTCCAAAGTGAGATGCGTGGGGAGGATTGAATGTCCAAGTGGAGTCATGTGCAGATAAGAAATCCTTCATTTCTTTGCTCTCAACAGCTGATACTCCTATGTCAGCAGTGGCGCCAATGAAATTTGTTCCTTGGTCGGAACGGAACTGCTTAACATGCCCTCTTATCGAGTACAATCTCCTCACCGCATTTATGAAACACGAAGAACTCATTTCCTCCAAGACCTCTATGTGTACCGCTCTGGTTGACATACATGTGAAGAGAGCAGCCCAACGCTTATTGGCTGCTGCGCCACCTCTAGTGCGTCTAGTGATGACCGTCCAAGGTCCAAACACGTCGACTCCCACACAAGAGAAAGGAGGGGTAGGTACAACTCTGTCTGAGGGCAGATCTGCCATTTTCTGGACACAGAGACGACTACAAAGTCTGCGGCATGTCACACAACGGTGTATGATCAACGAGATCAATCTTTTCCCACCAGTTACCCAATAGCCAGCCTCTCTGACGGCTCCTTCTGTAAAGTGTCTCCCTTGATGAGAAACGGATTCGTGGCACCGGCGTACAAGGAGTGTGGCAATGTGGTGTGAACCAGGGATAAGAACTGGGTGTTTCCTATGTCCTTCTACATCAGAAGCGTCCAATCTGCCTCCTACCCTCAAAATTCCTTCCTTGTCCAATTTGGGACATAACGTTAACAAGGAGCTAGTTTTAGGTATTGGCTTTCCTTGGTGGAGGAGGTCAAGTTCTGTTTTATAGAATTGCTTTTGTACTTCTTTGATGATGGATGTTTTGGCAGCACTCATGGATCCAGGAGTTGTTGGGCCAGAAGTTGCGTCTTGATTTTTGGGTTTAACACCTTGCTTGAAAAGTTTTGCAGCATGCATCACGTGGGATATCACTTTGACTAGCTTCGACCACCGAGAGAATTTGTCAAACAGGTAAGTAACTGGAGCTGGAATCAGCTCCGTCTTCATGACCACGGCCTCAGGACGGATTTCCTTGTCCTCTTCAGGTTCTACTAAAGGAAAACGATCGTCTGACAGTTCAAGAGGTTTGGATAGTTGTGTTGCTCCAAGTAACCATTTGCTATCTCTCAGCATGGACGCAGACAGGAATCGTGTTCCTTGGTCTGCTGGATTATTTTCAGACTCGACATAGAATCACTGCTCCGGTTTCGTGAAACGCAGTATCCTACTAACTCTGTTAGCAACATAAACATAAAATCGTCTGGTGCGGTTCTTCAGATAACCAAGAACAACCTTGCTATCTGAGTAGAATATCATTTTCTCGGAAGGTATATAGATATGTTCTTGAAGGATCTCGGCAATTTCAACAGCCAGCAAGGCGGCACACAGCTCAAGTCGTGGGATGGAATGTCCATGTTTAGGAGCCACTTTAGATTTTCCTAGCAAGAAGCTGACGTGAATATTCCACTGCTGCTATAGCTCTCTCTGACGCATCGGCATATATGTGAACCTTATTGGAGATGTCGTCTTCAGAAATTGGAGTTCTACAAGGGATTTGTAAGCTCCCCAGCTCCTGTAGTGACTTTTCCCAAGCTTCCCATTCGCTATGTTGATCTGCTGATAAAGGTTCATCCCAATCGACTATTCCTTCAACCATTTTGCGAAGAAGTGTTTTGCCTTTTATAGTTACAGGTGCCAAGAAACCTAGAGGATCGCACAGGCTATTTATGGTTAACAACACTCCTCTACGAGTGTAGGGCTTGGATTCCATAGACGACTTGAAGGAGAAGGTATCGGATTCCAGGTTCCAGCATAGTCCTAAGCTGCGTTGGGAGGGAAGACTCTCAGATCCTAGATCCAAATCCTTGAGATCCTGTGCTAAATCATCTGACGGGAAACTGTTGATGACATCCTGTGAGTTTGAACTGATTTTATGAAGACGAATACCTGCATTAGGCAATGCAGCCTGAGTACGGCTCAATAGGTCAACAGCTTCATCTGGGGTGGATAGAGAGATCAGACCATCATCCACATAAAAGTTGTTCTCTACGAATTCCAAAATGTCGGCTCCATAGTCGCCTTCACCTTCCTTTGCTGTCCTGCGCAGTCCATAACTTGCCACCGCTGGGGACGGGCAGTTTCCAAACACATGCTTGGTCATCCTATACTCCATCATGGGACGCGATGGATCGTTTGCTTCATACCAGTAGAATCTGAGGACGTCTCTGTGCTCAGGAGTGACTGAAAAACAATAAAACATCTGTTGGATGTCTGCTGTTACGGCTACCTTACCCTTTCGGAAGCGAAGTAAAACTCCGAGCAAGCTGTTTGTGAGATCTAGGCCCTTCATTAACACTTCGTTCAAGGATACGTCTTTAAACTTGGCAGAGGAATCAAAAACGCCGCGTATCTTCCCAGGCTTTTTAGGGTGATATACCCCAAACAACGGGAGGTACCACCTCTCTCTGTCGTCATCTATAGATATAGGTGATGCGACCTCAGCATGACCCCTGTCTATGATTTTCTTCATGAAGGCTACCATGTGATCTCTTTTCATGTGATTTTTCTTGAGACTAGCGTCTAACATACAAGCTCTCTTGAGAGCGAGAGGCTGGTTATTTGGTAAACGGGAACGAGGTACACGAAAGGGAAGGACCGCCGACCAAGATCCGCCAGGTTGTCTTGTGAATTCCTCATCCATAATTTTCATAAATCTACCATCCTCTATAGACAGACCGGACTTTTCATCCTCGCTGTTTCGTAAGAATACGTCCTTGCACAGATCCGGTGGGTCCTTAACGTGTATCTTGCTGGTGCATCAATCGAAGATGGTTGTCCTTCCATCGACGAGAACCCTTGTCTTCATAACGTTGACATTGCTCGGCCGGTGTGTTTTACCAAGGCAGACTTCACCCACAATCACCCATCCCAATTTAAGCCTCTGTGCAAATGGTTCGTCGCTTCCACCAATTCGTTGTTCAGTCACATGGAATGCTTCTGGGAGGTCTCGTTCAATAAGTAATTGAACCCCAATATCTTCTCTAATTGTGGGAATATGAACACCATTCATATGCGGATATGAGGAGCTGACCTGTGGTGGAGGAATTTCTTCTCTATTGTTTGGGATCTGGTCACACTCTATGATAGTGGGTAAGTTCAAAGTGTGGTTTCCATCATAAGATGTTACTGCTAACCCAGACAGACGACGGCCTGTCACGAGCTGTTTTCCTGCACATAATACAATAGTGTATGGTTCGGAATTCTGTTCAGGAATTTTCCAATAGTCGAATACATCTGAGCGACCAAGACTCCTGTTGCTCTGCTCATCTAAAATGGCATATACGGGTATGGACTTCCCTGGTTCACCAACCGGATGAAGCTTTACAAGTAGAGTTTTGGCACAGGAATGGCCACCAAACTCTTTACCGCATATTTTAGTGCAGTGGGCTGTGACAGATCTCTGAGAGTTTTCTTTCACCTCTGTTTTATTATTTAAGGGTGTCGAATTCTCCTCGCCATGAGGTGGCTGGGGCCTCTGATTACCTCTTACTTTGGTTCGAGTACCTTTGTGCTTAGGGTGGAATGCTGAGGGGATATGTTTGCTCTGACAAATCTTACACTTGACATTCTCATGACAGTCCCTGGATATGTATGCCTTTGAATTGCAGCATCTGTAACATATTTTATGCTCAACGAGAATCTCTCTACGCTGTGACAAGGATTTTTCTTTAAATTTCCAACAGTCATTCAACGTATGCTTTGGGTTACCAGCGCAGAATATACACTTTAAGTCTGTCAGTACTTTAGTTCCAGCTTCACACCTCAACTCAGTTTTGTTCACTCTGACATCTTGACGACGACTATTATTTGGACGGCGCGAAACTCTTGTGTTATTTTCTGGTACCGCTATGATTAAACCTGGATCATTCATGACTGTCAACATTTCTTTTAGAAAGGCGGCAAAGTACTCGAACGGCGGATAGGCTTGATCATGAGATCTCTTATAAGCGGCTGCTCGGTCCATCCACTTATTCTGTAGTCTAAGCGGTAACTTCGAGACCACCTGATTCGTACCGATGAATGTATGAACTTATGATCTGTACTTGAATTCAATTTTTAATTGAATTTATGACTTAAATATTGATATAATTTGGTTTAGAGATGAGAATATTGTAACTCTAATTAAAATACTGGATAGGAATAATGTATATTTATCTAATAGTAAACCAGATAATGTGTTTTTATATTATTTCTGGCATTGCTGATAGATGTTTCATTTGATTTTTCAGTAATAATGTGATGTATACAGCAACTAAACCCTTTTTGTAGTGATCCTAGTAGATCGGGTTAAGGCGTATGATCCTCAACCCATAGTCGAGGTTAACAAAGGTGACAGGACAAAACAATGAAGGGGTCACGAGTACACAGGGTACATACACCACAGTAGACCTGACACACGGACACCTGTATAAAGCTGACTAAAAAATCAAGCATTGACAGCTTTACATCACATAAAATTAAACTTGACATAATGTCCCCCGCTACATATGTGAAATGTGATTATGTACTATTAATAGCCGGCTAGTGAATTCTATTGTTTCATAGTATCCATGTTGTAAATTGTATATTTGATCAATGTAAGGTAGATATGGATCATACCCACTATCTTGATAATTGCTATATATCTGTAGGTGTGTTTTTCATAGTTGTGGTATCAGATATATAAAAGTAGTGGTAGTGGTAGTGGTAGTGGTAGTAGTAGTAGTGGGTATTATAAGTAGTAGTGTTAGTAGTAGTAGTGGTTAGTAGTAGTGGTAGTAGTAGTAGTAGTAGTAGTAGTAGCAGTAGCAGTAGCAGTAGCAGCAGCAGCAGCAGTAGTAGTAGTAGTAGTAGTAGCAGTAGTAGTAGTAGTAGTAGTAGTAGTAGGTAGTAGTAGTAGTAGTAGTAGTAGTAGTAGTAGGTAGTAGTAGTAGTAGTAGCTGTTGTGATAGTAGTAGTGGTGATAGTAGTAGTAGTAGAAATAGTGGTAGTAGCAGTAGTAGTAGTAGTAGTAGCAGTAGCAGTAGCAGCAGCAGCAGCAGCAGCAGCAGCAGTAGCAGTAGTAGTAGTAGCAGTAGTAGTAGTAGTAGTAGTAGTAGTAGTAGTAGTAGTAGTAGGTAGTAGTAGTAGTAGTAGTAGTAGTAGTGGGTATTATAAGTAGTAGTGTTAGTAGTAGTAGTGGTTAGTAGTAGTAGTAGTAGTAGTAGTAGTATAGTAGTAGTAGTAGTAGTAGTAGTAGTAGTGCTTCTTCGCATACCAAAACCACAACTCCGAGGGTTCGTTTAAGCGTTTATTTTCAGATACTGTAGTAATAAAAAAACACCTGCAACAGATACAACATATATTACTATGAATCACACCTATTACACACTAAGAATATCACAGAATCAATTAATGTCATCCTGACCGTAGTCAGTTACTAATTTAACAATTACACTGTTAACTACATTCCTATAAATTATACAGAAATTACAGCTTAATTATATATTAACGAATATATAATATTAGACATTAATATACATAAAATACCCACCTCTTCAATGCGAAGAAGGTTTTTTTTTCGGACGAAGTCCGCCGAGCACCAATTCTGACTCGAAGCTTGCACTATACAAAAGGAAAGTACGATACACATCAAAGTCTTCTTCTTTAAAACTATAGACCTATATGCCAAAATGTAAATTGACCACACCCAATATTTTAATTTACTCGATTCCGAAAACATTTACTTTTATTTACTTGAAACAAAACTATTACATAAATCAAATATATTGTTAAATAGATACTATATTAAATTATACTTATAGTTACATACTAAGTATCGGGTACTTACATTACTCCTATAGCTAGTGTCCCACAAATAGCAATTATGACTAGGTAACTTGTTGGTGTTGCCGCATCGGCCGCTCTGCCCAAAATGACCAGTGCGCTCCCAGATCACCCAATATCCCCCGTAAATATACTAATAATAGATGAGACAGACTGGACAAACTGGTTTACAGATACAAACGTCACATCCATCTCGCGCTCCACTCTCACTTTCACATGCCATACTCGCGCGCGCTAAAATCCATGCCGCAATGCGCCACGTACCAAATGATACGAAAGGCTGACTTCCGGTTCTGACACGCGAACGCCTAACGATAATATTAAAACAATAACAAATGCATATAGCACATATATTAAAATAATATGTCAAAACAACATTACTACATATAAGATAGTGTTATTGATAGTGATGTAGATTTGTATTGTTATCATTATGTTAAGCCATAAATATTTAATTGTGTATTGCAGGTTCAATCTTTATACGACTTATACCGCTACTACTTGCATTATATGGCTTGCGACTGGTAAATCTCAATAAATGAACGAACCCGACCCGGTTGTCCTAGTCGTCATTTTCTTTGACTCATGTGCAACCCGGTTACATTTATATGTAGCATTTGTGCATTGAATTGTTTTTAGTGTTATTATTGTTGTGTTAAATGACCTTAGCTAAAATATCATAATTTCATATTGATCAAAAACAACCAAAAATGTATTATGTTCTTTTCATATAACGTAATGTGCCGCACTGGACCGAAAGACGATTGACAGGATCGGACAGAATTGGGCGGTTTATATGTAGAATTTGGGCATTACATTGTTTTTAGTGTAATTATTGAGACAAAAGCTTCCAATTGGTTATGGGATCTCCCAAAACTTAGGGGTTGTACTTAAAGTGTTAGTGTATCGTTCTACAATATTTAAATAAGAAAGACGTTATAATCTAAATAAGAAAATGTCGAAAACCGCGTGAAAATTGATCCACTACGACCGATGATATGGCTTGTCAATCATCCCAGTTTGCACCTGCCATAGATACTTCATTCCCCACGAGATTCTTAATTATGCCGCAATTATGATATTTCATGAATTATTTTGGTATATGGTCAAAACTGCCTCACTGCAATAACGGCCCTAGTTGAAACGGCCATAACTGTATATAGTGTAATGTTGCGCTGGTACTGTGGTGATAGCATCGCATTAAGATGTTGATGATTAAAACAGATTTTGATAATTTAAAACATTGTATTGTATGGTTTATTTTATATGAACGTATCTTATTTACACAAAAATTGTTTTCACGTGATGTATTAAATTTTTCTATATGAATTTTATATTGTTTAACTTTATTGTTTATGTATCAAACGTTCTTTTGTAATTATATTTTTATAATTATTATATCCGCATTTGCCACAATCAACTTTCACGACCTTTTTGAGAATATGCCTTGCATACTTTGTCTGAGAATTCAGAATTTTGAGAAAGTTTCGTGCAAATGGGACCAGGATGCTGCTTTAGAAAAAAATGTATGTAAATTGATACAGTAAGTAATTAAACACATTATAGGATTTGCGTTAGTCATTTGATTAAAACGAAAGATGCATATAACCAATATAATTTCATGTTATATATCAACAATATATATACCGTAATTCTTTAACAAATTGTAGAAGTGTATTTCACAGTATATAAAGCAGCGTCCGTTTCTGCACGTTCCCGCTTCATTTTAGTCCGTTTTTGGCCGTTAGCCTAGATGGTATTACGGAATTTATATGAATTGCCTTAGTGAATGGAAGCTAAAATTAAACCAAGATAATCTATTTGATCATGTGTATA